GCGCAGTTAACCGCGTGGAACAACGTGTCAGGCACCTACCAGATCCCATTCGAAAGTTCATGGCAGTCAGATCTGCCGGAGAATATCGGTTGGAGTTACTGAAGAAGGACCAAGCCGACGCCTGCGTTGACGCCCGCAAGCTGATACTTCTGCGAGGCGGGGCCGCGCTGGAGCCGCATGCCTTGCGTGCTGGCCAGCGACGACGCCCCTGCGTCAAGCTAGAGGTGGGCGACGCGGGAGACGGACTCCGAGCACATGTGAAGCAGGAGCCACGGGAGTCAAGCCGGCCCCCCAGAAGAGAGACCGTCCCGAGTGCGTCGGCAGGGCCCAGGCGGCGAGAACGCAACGGGCAAGGCGCGGCAAGTTCTAGCGGCGCCGCCGAGGCCGACGTGCTCCGACGCTGGGAACCAGAGCGCTTCGCGCGTTTGATTAGGATGCGAGGTTCTGTAACCGTCCAGGCGGACATTGAGGGAGGGGCAGAAGATATGGGCGCGTCCATCCGTCGAGTGACAGAGAAGGCAGACAGCGTCTTGAACACTTGGGGCGTTCCGCCGACTGGATTCTTCAGAGATGCCCTCATCGTGCTCAGTCTCTGCTTGATCGAGAACCCTAGCGTCAAGGCGGGAAACGACCACCTCGTGACGCGGCTGGCTGCCATCATGATGGGCCCGAGGTACAGGGCGCACTCGGACGGCGTCTACCACTATCGCAATGGCGCTCCTCGGCGAGTAGAAGAATTAACAGAGGACAGGAGAATCGCAAATGCCCGTTCAATGCTTTTCGGAGGGCGAGCGCGCGAAAATGCAAAAAAGCGAAAAATGCAAACAACAAAAAAAACATAAAAAAGGACATCCTAAGAAAACCATGCGAAACAGCTGCGAAAACATGTGTTTTCTTAGGTTTTGCGCCCATCGGAGGCCCCAACCTGTGAAAGCACAGGCATTTCTAATTCAGATGCGCTCGAACCTTGTGTGTTTCACAGGTTTGGGGCCTCCGATGGGTGCAAAACCTAAGAAAACACAGGTTTCCGCAACTTTTTCGCATGGTTGTCTTAGGATGTCCTTAAGTTTTTTGTTCCGGGGGGGGGGGGGGGCGGGCATTTTTCGGCTTTTTTGCATTTTCGCGCGCTCGCCCCAGGGAGCGGGAGGGCCGACGTGGCGCTGGCCGCAAGCAGGCGAAAAACAAAAAATAAGAAAAATGCAGACAGAAAACAAAAACAACAACAAACAACACGCTAAGGACATCCTGAGAAAACCATGCGAAAAAGTTGCGAAAACATGTGTCTTCTTAGGTTTTGCGCCCATCGGAGGCCCCAAACCTATGAAAACACATGGTTTTCTAATTCAGATGCGCTCAAACCTTGTGTTTTCACAGGTTTGGGGCGTCCGATGGGTGCAAAACCTAAGAAAACATATGTTTTCGCAACTTTTTTCGCATGGTTGTCTTAGGGTGTCCTTAGTTTTTTGTTGTTTTTTGTATTTTTCGTTTTTTTTGTATTTTCGCGCGCCTTCGCCTGGCGCTTTTCTCCCGCTCAGTCGCTCTCTTGTTCTCACGCTCCTCCGCTCAATCGAACACTACAAAAGATTAGCAGCGCCAGCTCAAAGCACGAACGACGATGAGATAGGAAAACAAAAGGGTGACGGTCAGATAAGAAAACAGAGGGCGAGGTGGATCACAGGGGGGGGTGTGACCATATATGTGTATATATATATAGAGAGAGAGTGAGATCGATCGTGACATCGATCGAGTGAGATCGATTGTAAAATCGGTCGCGGGATCGATAGTGCGATCGATTGAGTGAGACGTTGGTTTCTCCTCCTTCCCCAGCCCCCTTATCACCCGAAGGGTGGTCGTACAGATATACGTGTATTTTTCCAGGTCGATTGCCTATACGACCACCCTTCGGGTGATCAGGACGTTGTGTGTGGGGGGGGGGGGAGAAGGGGAGGAATCAACATCTGACTCGATCGATCTCACTATCGATCTCACTCAAGTGGACACCACGGGACACCATGGGACACTTGTCGATCTCACTATCGATCTCACTACCGATTTCACTCAACGGGCCAACACGGGCCACCACGGGACACCGCGGGACACCACTTGATCTCATTATCGATCTCACTATCGATCTCACTATTGACCTCACTCGACGGGGCACCATAGGACACCACGGGACACCTTGGGACATCACATTGATTCCATTATTTATCTCACTCAACGGGACACCACGGGACACCACGGGACACCACGGGACACCACGGGCCACTTGTCGGTCTCACTATCGGTCTCACTATCGATTTCACTTTTTGGGACACCATCGGACACCACGGGACACCACGGGGCACCACATCGATCTCATTATCGGTCTCATTATCGATCTCACTATCGATCTCATTCAACGGGACACCGCGGGACACCTGTCGATCTCACTATCGGTTTCACTATCGATCTCACTTTTGGGGACACCGAGGGACATCTCGGGGCACCACATCGATCTCAGTCGGAGGTTGGGGGGTGAGGTCGCAGTGGAACGGAGACCCCCAACGGGGAAATCGTTTCGTTTCGTTCGTGTCGTGCGTGCGGGCGAGGCGAAGCTGCGTGGGCGCGCGAGAGGAATGAACTCGCCGCTTCTAGGCCGAAGTCAAGACAAATGAATATCCCCCATCGTCCGGGGATGGCCCGCGGTGTCCCGCGGTCTCCCCTGGTGTCCCGTGGTGTCCCGTGGTGTCTGCCGTTGGTAGGGCGAAGTCAAGACAAATGATTATCCCCCTCCCGCTCGTCTGACGGTGGCCCGCGGTGTCCCCTGGTGTCCCGTGTCCCCTAGTGTCCCCTGGTGTCCGCCGTTGCTGGGGCGAACTAAAAACAAATGATTCTCCCCCTCTCGCCCGTCCGGCGGTGTCCCGTGGTGTCCCGTGGTGTCCGCCATTGCTGGGGCGAAGTCAAGACAAATGATTCTCCCCCTCCAGCCCGTCCGGCGGTGGCTCGCGGTGTCCCGCGGTGTCCCGTGGTGTCCCGTGGGGTCCTGTGGTGTCCCGCGGTGTCCCGTTGAGTGAGATCGATAGTGAGATCGATAGTGAGATAGATGCGGTGCCCCGAAGTGTCCCGTGGTGTCCCGTGGTGTCCCTTGGAGTGAGATCGATAGTGAGATAGACAGGTGTCTCATGGTGAGATCGACGGTGAGATGAGGTGTCCCATGGTGTCCCGTGGTGTCCGATGGTATCCCGTTGAGTGAGATCGATCGTGATATCGATAATGGGACCGATAGTGAGATCGAGAGGTGTCCCGCGGAGTCCCGTGGTGTCCCGTGGTGTCCCGTTGAGTGAGATCGATAGTGATATCGACAAGTGTCCCGTGGTGTCCCGTGGTGTCCCGTTGAGTGAGATCGATAGTGAGATCGATTGAGTCAGATGTTGGTTCCCCCCCACACAACCTCCTCATCACTCGAAGGGTGGTCGTACAGGTATCGATCTCACTATCGATCTCACTATCGATCTCACTCAACGGGACACCGCGGGACACCACGGGACACCACGGGACACAGCGTTTCGTGGCCCTCCTCCCCCTCCTCTCTGCGTTTCACCCACCCAGCACGGCGTTTCGTGGCCCCATAGGGAGATCCACCGAAGCCCTCAGTGGGACCGTCCGCATGCGTCCCGGTAACCCAATGGCCCCATAGGGGGGGCTCCACCCAAGGCCCCAGTGCCACCGTCCGCATGCGTCCGGAAAATGTAATTTGGCATTTTCACCCGCGCAGTGCAGCATTTCTTGGCCCCATAGGGGGCTCCACCGACGCCCCCAGTGGGACCGTCCGCATGCGTCCCGGTAACCCAATTTGGCATTTTCACTCACTCAGTAGAGCGCTTCGTGGTCCCATAGGGAGCTCCACCGAAGCCCTCAGTGGGACCGTCCGCATGCGTCCCGGAAACCCAACTCGGCACACCACCCACACAGCACAGCGTTCCCCCCCGCCCAGTGCAGCGTTTCGTGGCCCCATGGGGAGCTTCACCGAAGCAGATATTCACAATTTCGGTACCCACAACTGCATATGGTTGGGACCTTCGCCAGGATTTTTTTTTTTTTCTCTCTCTCTCTCTCTCCTCTTCTCCCTCTCTCTCTCTCTCTCTCCCTGTTTCTCTATTTCGTCATCTTTCCCCCATCTCCCCCCTCCGCATTCTCCCCCCGCTCTCTCCCCTCTCTACCTTCTCTCCCCATCTCTGCCCCTTCCTCCCTTCCCTTCTCTCTCTCCCCCCCCATCCAACAGGCTACGAGCTGGGGTTGCCCCCAGGCGACGGGTGTCCCCCCTTTGGCGGCGCCTGCGTTGACCCCGACGGACTGCCAGATGGCGGCCCGCTCGTAGACCTGGCAGACTGGTCAGGATCCCTCCTCCCTCCTGCCCCTCCTCGCGGGACCAGTCCGTCAGCTCCCCCAGCACCTGGCCCCCGTGGCCGTCGTGGCTCGAGCTCCCTGGGCCGCCCGCCGCCCGCGCCCGTCAAGTGAAGCCCACCGAAGCCAACCGATCGGCTTCGCGCAGAGGTGGCCCTTCGCCAGAGTGACCTCTTGGTGCGGGCCCACCGTCGCAGGCGATTTTTCTCCCCGAATCCTTGAGAGTTCCGCCCGAAAGGTCTGGCCGCTCAGAAGAGGGGGGGGGGAACTCAGGGATACACCCCCGGGGGGCTATTTGTACGCACCCTTGTCAAGGGGATGGGCGCCCCCCCATGGTATATATATATATATACACATATGTATGTGTGCATATATATATATATATGTATATATATATATATACATCTCCCAGGGTCGGTACCCCAACCTTTGATCCAGTCGGAAGCCCCCCCGAAGTCGGGGACTGGGGTCGCCGTGCCCCCCCTTGCACAAGGGGGCCCCCCTGGCGCTGGCGGGCGCGCCTGGCCCTGCCCCCCGCCCCCGCGGCCGCCTGCAGCCGCGCACCGGAGGCCACTCCCCGCCCGAGCTCCCACTCCTGCGTGCGGCCGAGCCGAATGTCCCGCGGCAGGCTGCGCCGCCGTGATGGCAGCAGCACTCCCGGCCGCCTCCTCGTGGCGCTGCTGGCGGCGTCCGCGAGCGGGGCCCGCGCGGCCCGGGTGCGGGCGGCCGCCCGGCTGTTCGCGGGCGCCCACGGGCTCCTCGACGGCCTGCGCGGCGCGCCCGGCTCGGCTCCGCCGAGCCCGGCCGAGGCCGCCGCCGCCGTCGTGGACTTCTTCCAGGCGGGCGGCGCCGGCGGGGGGGGCAACGCCACGGCGGCGGCACGGCCTGCGTGCGCGGGCTTCCTGGCGAGGAGCATGGGCGGCCTGAACGAGTCGTGGTCCGACGTCCAGCTGTAGGCCGCGCTGAACAGCGCGTGCTCCGAGAGGGCACTGTTCACGAAGGCCTCCACGTCCTCCCCCTTCCCCCTCTGGTCCCGATGCTCTTCCTCCTCCTCTTCCTCCACCCCTCCTAAAATGTGCCCTCCCCTTCCCATCCTCGTCCTCGTCTGCTCGCTCTCCGTTCTCTTCCTGCACCCTCCACCACCTCCCCCTCCTACCCCCTCCTCCTCGATGTCCCACACCAGGCCTCCCCGGACTCAGGCCTTGGACCATCGGGTCCCCCTGAGCCGCCTACACTTGCGAAAACATCGATCGGCGGACACTCTAAGCACGTACTGAAGCAAGCGATGGAATAAGAGGTCCCTACGCCCGGGCATCTACGGGCGGAGGGGGGAAGGAGGAAGAAGGGGGAGGGAGGAAGGAGGAGGGGGAGGAGGAGGAGGAGGAGGAGGAGGAGGAGGAGGAGGAAAATGAAGACGTCAATTCTAGACGCTTCGTGTAACCCCACCAGTTATTGTCTTGCAACTAGCCCCGTACCGTGACCCAGACGCCGCTTCCGCTCCCTGTCCGTTGCTTCGGAGCCGCCGACCAAAAAAGTAACCCCACCAGAGCCGTCGTTGACTCTTCGACGCGCGACGCCCGACTGACTAGCTGCTGTGCACACGGCAGTTCCCCTCAGCTCAGCCCCGGCAGCCCCCCCCTGAGGCCTCGGCCGCGTTTAGTTGTCGCCTCGCCCATCGCACTGTTGGTTTTCCCGCGTCTGTTGCCGTTTCCGCCTAGGCCTCTCGCATGCGCACTCTGGCAGTACTGTGCCCCAGTTTTCTGCTGTTAATTAGTCTGTGGCGCGTGCCCGCTTCGACTTGACACGCCGCCGGCGCTTCCACCCGCGGCCGTTGACTGAAAAGTACCCCCACCAGAGTTTTCTTATCGCTCCCGCGCCATTTTTGCTGCGTCCCAACCTCGGTTGGCTATTTGATGCGTTCGCTCCTGGACCCGTTGCCTGGCAGCTGCAGCCCGCACCACCTCCCGCTTCCGGTCCGCTGAGGTGCCGCTTAGGCCTCTGCTTGCTGGCGCGTTAGGCAATTAGGTTCGCGCGTGGCCCGCCCGTCCCGTTTGACGCCGCCTGCGCTTTCGCTTGCGGCTGCGACAGAAAAGTAACCCCACCAGCCCATCCAGAAACGATGCCCAAAGGAATTGCCTCGAACAGGGAAGTGGGCAGCACACAGATGAAGGGTCCCACAGTGGAGGCCTCTAGGAACGTCTTGGGGTCCTCTTGGCGGTCCCGGACGCTTCTTAGAGCGTCTTGGGTGCCTCAGAGAGCTTCTTGGGGCCTCTTGGGGGTCTCTGGGGAGCCTCTTGGAGGCCTTTTGGGCGCCTGCTGTGGCCTCTTGGGGCTGTCTGGGCGCCTCTTGGGGCCCTTTGGGACGCTCTCGGGAGCCTTGGGAGCGATCTTGCAGCCCTCTTGGGCCATCTTGGAGCCATCTTCATGGCCATCGGAAGCGAACAGGCGACAAAGCCAAACACATTGATTGTCCTAAGGTTTTGGAAGGATGTTGGCCTCTTCGAGGCCTCCTTGGGGAGCTCTTTGGCCACTTGGAGCCGTCTTGGAGCGGTCTTGGGGCCTCTTGGAGCATCGTGGGAGCCATCTTGAGGCATCTTGGGGCATTTTGAGCCATCTTGGAGGTCATCTTGGGCTCTCTCCCAGGCGCTCTTGGAGTCATCTTAAGCAATGCCCCCCCCCAGGAGACCGACATGTGGCCAGAACCTTCGTAAAATCAATGGTTTGGGCATTGTCGCCGAGGCCTCTTGGAGCGTCTTGGGTGCATCTGGGGGGCCTCATGGGGGCCTCCTGGGGGTCTCTTGGGGGCCTCTTGGGGGCATCCTGGGGGCCTCTTGGTCGCCTCTTGTGGCCCCTCTTGGGGCGCCCTTGGGAGCCCTGGGAGCGCTCGTGGGGCCATCTCGTAGGAGATCGGTCAAAGAAGGGGGTCCCCAATTAGCGCCGCCCCCCCCAAGAGGCCAAAATGGAGCCCAAACCCTAGCACAACAAATGATTACGGTTTCCTCGCCGAGGCCGTTTCGGACGTTCCGGCGACCCGCGAAACGCCCCTTCCAGGTCCAGGGGAGGGGTAGGGGGAGAGGTCCAGACTCCCTCCCCGCCCGCAAGCCGTCTCGCTCACTCCCACCCGCCCTCCCAACACATACGTAGCACCCAAGCCTGGCCCGAGCCGCAGCATATTCAGCACTCGTCTTTGGATGGGCAGCTACTGGGGGCGAATCCGCCGCCGCCGCCCGCCGCCGCCGCTGCCGCGCCGCCGCCGCCGCCGCCGCTGTCCGCCGCCGCCGCCGCCGCCGCCACCGCGCCGCCCGCCGCCGCCCGCAGCCGCCGCCCCCGCTGCCGAATCGCCGCTGCCGCAGCCGCTGCCGCCGCAGCCGCTGTCGCCACCGCCGCCGCCGCCGCCGCCGCCACCGCCGCCGCCACCGCCGCAGCCGCCGCAGCCTCTGCCCCCGCCGCAGCCGCCGCCGCCGCCGCCAAGTGTACTCCTTTTTGTTTTTCTGACAGGGATGGTGGGGGGAGGCCGCATTGGGTTCGCCGCGCATGCTCCGAATTTTGAGGCAGAGTTTTTTTGTGTATTGATTTTTTACAAGGGATGGTGTGGGGGGGGCCGCATGGTCTCGGGTTGACTCCCAGTCGCTTGGGGGAAGGGGTGTATAATAGGGAACAGTTATAAACCCTTCCCGGAAGGGGAAGAAGGGGGCGGAAGAGGAAACACCCTAAACCACCTACGCCCAAAAGGGCTGGTGGGATTACGAAAAGCAATCGTGCCGGCACCATCGTGGCCTGCCTTCGCCACGCTCTTTGCATTGCATTTGCCCTAGCTTCGCTCTGCCTTGGGCGTGCCCAGCCCTGCTCTGCCCTGGTCGACCCTGCACCCTGCAATGCCCTGCTCCGCCACATGCCGTCATGCCTCGCCCTTCCCCTGTCCTGCCAATCCTCTGGACTGCCTGCCGGTCCCCCGGGCATGCGTGCAGTTCGGCGAGCAAGCAGGCGGGCACGCACGCAGGCAAGCAAACAACACGCATGCCCGCCAGCAGGCCCGCACTCACGCTAACAAGCTAACGCGCGTGTATGCAAGCGTGCAATCAAGCGAGCGCACATGCACCCATGCAGACATGCACCCATGCAGACAAACAGTCGCACACGCAATCAGTCGCACACGCAATCAAGCAGTCGCACACGCGACCAAGCAGGCAACCAAGCAGGCGACCAAGTCAGTTACCAAGGCGGCAACCTTGCACGCAAGCAAAGCGATGCGCGAGCACGCGAGCACACGATATCCAAGCAAGTGGTCAAGAGCGCCATCTCGCATCTACGCATGTCGCAGGGCATCAGCAATGTGCACTTCAGTGCCCGTACTAACGCGAGCAGGTGCGAACGCAGTTAGACACACAAGCAGCTGTGCACTAGTGAACGCCATTCTGAAGTTACGCACGCACGCAAGGAAGCACGCACACAAGCCAGCATCAACGCCAAGACGCACGCAAGGAAACGCAGTTTCAGACACCAGCAGAGAAAGCATGCATCATGTGGGAAACAAGCAACAACGCAAGCTCGCACACAACGGAACGCAATCACAGACACAAACAGGCAATCTTGCAGTTCCCACGAGCCGTGGACATCATCTAGTAGCCATGAATGCGTCTTATCCGTGACCCCCGCGCGACCTACGGGGGCAAATCACGGGCCGCCTATTTAGCCAGCCAACCATTCCCTTTATCAGCAACTCCTGCAGGCAATCCTACGTGGACAATTTCCCAGATCCGCCCCCCCGCCCAAACGACAGTTATCTGACCCATGTATCACCCTCTCTTCCCTTGCACCTCCACTGGGCAACATCTGATTTCAGAAAGCGCTCAGAGATTTCAAAAGCTCCACGTTTCCACAAACCCCAAATCGGCCCTCTACGGTTCGTGTCGTGCCGGCGCGGCAGCGACCCCGCCGCGGGCGTTCAAGTTTGAACGCTGTCAGTGGCTCAGAATAAGCCGAATTGGAGCGATCTGGCGATAGAAAGGCCGCCGACATCTCTTGGTTGAACGCTCCACCTAGTAACAGAAGCCAGCGCCGAGACATGAGGTAGACCAGCTTCTGAGTGCCACACAGACAGCCTGAAAGTCTCAGAGCCTTCCCAGCTCTTCCAGCACCTCCCCGAGGCCAACGGCTCGGACGAGCACCTGGACTGCCTCTCCTTCTCCTCGCGCTTGGCCCGCGCGCGCCGGGCGCGCCCGGCGAACGGCAGCAGCGTCGCGGGCTACGCGGACGTTTGTGGGGAGCTTAGCGAGGGCCTCGGCTCGCCTGCTTGGGCCAGACAGGTGGATCGAGGCTCCCCCCAGGGGTAGGGTCGAGGCCTCCGGGGTGTTCCACCGGGGTCTGGGCGGGGCTTCTGGGGCTTAGAAGGGAAACCGGTCCCGAGCAGAGCAACACGCACCAAGACCACGACGACGCCTACGACGACGACGGAATCCAGGCACGAGGCGATCCGCACCGTAGCACGGATTTGGGAAAGGGCCACCCCTGCAGGTTCCGCTAAAACAGCACACTTTTGAGCGGTGCTGCAGCCTCCCATGAGCACAGCCTCCCCCCCAGAGCATGAGCCAGACATGTCGGGCTCAAGAGGAGGGAGTGGGACAGTGGTCATCTCCCCATCCTCCTGCTCCACCTGCCGATCTCCACCGGGGTGGGCGGCGGGAGGCGGGCTACTCGGAGGCACACGTGATGCGTTATGTTTTTGTCGCGCCCGCACCTTTCGTACGTGTAGGTCTCGTCATAGCTGTACCGACACTGCCTCGTGTGAAGCTGATTGGCGAACCTCTGCGTCGGCCAGCAGCTTGATGTGATAATTAGAGGATGCTCACGCGCACCGTGCAAGTTTATTTCCAGAGACTGAATGAGCGGCGCCCTGGCGCCCACTCACAGCCCCGCGCGCGGCCGTCCTCACGGGCGCACTGGGAAGTGTCTCGCCTCGTTTCGACATCGTCTCATGTGAATTATTTGTTGTTCGTGGAAGCCCTCTGGCACTTCGATTTGAGTGTGTCCGCTCTACGGTTCAAACGCGTTTCGGCCACTTCGATCGAGGTCTTTCCGCACAAACCTTGGGTCTTGGGCCTACTCCGCTCTTTCACGGGAGAGGTCGCTCGTATTCCGCCTGAGGGCCTCGCCCGTCTTCTTGTCATTGGCACGTACATTATGGTGATTAGTTGTTTGAAAGTGGGATGATGGATCTGATGACGGCGACGATGATGACGACAAATATTGTTGTGATGTTGATCACGGTGATGATGGTAAGCATGATAGTCACATGATGGTATTGATGATGATGAGTCCCGGGTAGCAATGAGGAGGTGGTGGAGACTGAGGAGGTTTTTTGATACACCCAGCTCGGGAGTGTTGCTTCCGAGGCGAAGAATACGCGGTACTGGTGTCGAAGCAGGGTCCTGTTGCATCGTCCACAGAACAGGCCGAGCAGGAGGCAGAGCAGGAGGCAGAGGCTGGTACTGGCTTCATCTGGATCGTTCAGGTAATTTTTGGCGTCGTGTACTACTTCACGGTCGTGTCGAAGTACCCGGTGGTGAAGGAAGGCCCAGAGGCGATCCCCGAACAGCACCCGGCGAAGTTGCTGCAGGACCAGAACGAGCTCAGTTCGCTCACGAAAGTGAGCTCCACCAACTGCATGCTGTCATTTTGCTGCCCTGTTGCTCGCGCCTCGCACACGTTCCACTCCACAGAGACCCTCAACTACTGGATCTCGTGCGGCATCATGACGTGCTTCCCGTTCTGGGGCCCATGTTGCGCGCTCTTCATTGCGAACTCTTGCACGCCGATGAACAGGAAGCTCGGTGGCGAGGAGAGGAACGTGGTGATGAGCCTCATCTGCACGTGGTGCTGCCCCTGCTGCGTCATCGCGCAAGACGCTGAGAGCATGGACCTTCTGGTCGGCGTGAAGACGGGCGTGTGTGGCGTGACCCAGGCCGAGGACTGAGAAGCCCGGGCGCGCGAAGTCGAGCGCACCACCAGGACCAGGCATCGGAACGGACAGTGGATGCTCCGAGGTCTCTCCTGGACCTCGCGGGTCGGCGCAGCGCCTCCCCCCCACACCCCCCGCGACGCCTCTGGCGCCGCCCCTGGCGCGCTTCCTCCTGCGTGCCCCTCTGCGGCGCGCGCGGGCTCCGGGGTGGGCTCTCGGCTCTCTCGCGCTACTCATGCAGTGTGCCGTCTGCGTGCTGTTTGATGCAAGCGGGAGAGAGCTTGCGACGATCGTGCACGTCATCGAAGCCACCTGCGGCGAATCACCGCCGCCCTAGGCAGTTCCTTTTAGGATACGCCTAGGCGGCCACACGTTCGGACAAAGTTTGGCCACGCTATTGGTTCAAGCGTTGCCCCAGCCGTTGTGGAAGGCCTTCGGGAAACACGCGGGGGAGGAACGGGAGGACGAGGAGAGGGAGGAGAAACGGAGGATGAGGAGAAGAGCGAAGAGACTTCTTGAGAGCTTCTTGAGTCATTCTTGGGACCTCCCGGGAGCTTCCTGGGGACCTTGGAGGCCACTTCCAGGCCTCCGTGGGCCTCTTGGGGCTTCTTGGGGCGTCTCGGGGGGCCTCTTTGGCCATCCTACGGTGTTCCTGGCTGACGCCGTCGGAGACCGTTTTGGGAGCCTCTCTTGGCCGTGTTGGGGCCCTCTTGGGGCGCTTCTGGGTCGTCTTGAAGGCCATCTTGGGCGTCTTGGAGGCCTCTTGGGCCTTCTTGGGGCCCTTTGGGGGCCGTTTTGGGAGCCTCTTGGGCCGTCCTGGGACCATCTTGGAGGCCTCTTGGGCCTTCTTGGGGGCCTCTTGGGCTGTCTTGGGCCGTTGGAAGGCTGTTGTGAAGCAAATGCCAATGTCTTTCAATGTCGTTCAAACATCCACTGACAATTAATGATGTAGACCTCTTCGGGCCTTCCTGAAGGACCTCTTGGAGGCCTCGTTGGCCGTCTTAGGGGCCTCTTGGGCGCTTCTTGGGCCGTCTTGGGCTCTCTTGGACCACCGTGGCGGTCTTTGAGGCATCTTGGGACCGTCTTGAAGGCCATCTTGGAGCTATCTTGGGCTCTCTTGGGACCAGCTTGGCCGTCTTGGGGGCATCTTGGAGACCATCTTGGGCCATCTTGGCCGTCTTGGAGGCTCTTGGGCCAGTGGAGGGCGCAGTTTACGCCGGCGGGTTGGGCCGAAGCTGCAGGGTGAGTTCTTTAGAGAAGAATCGAAACATCCTAGGCATCCAGCACGCCGTGCACCTCTGTGGCAAACCACAGGGGCGCGATGGATCTGGTAGCCTTCGGCCCAACCCGCCACTCTGCCTGGGCTGTGGGTCAGGAGCTTCTTAGATGCATCTGAGGATATCTCGGGAAGCATCTCGGGCGCCTTAGGGGGCCTCTCGGAGGTTTTTTGGGCCTCTTACTCGCCGTGTGCTTGCTGCTTGGTGTCCTGCTGGCGTCTCGCGTAGGGTACCATACTGCTAGGCAAGTGTCCAGACCGGGTCCCAGGGGGAGTCCCAGAGTCTGCGTGCGCGGGGCCGTCGCTGTGCTCGGTGTCAGATGATGATGTCTACCGGGCGGGATGCCTCGTGGGTGGCCTTGCCAACATCAGTCCTAAATCTGTGCCCACGCCCATGGCTGTCTTCCGACGTATCCCGCAGTCAGTTCCGATCTCATAAGCTTCTCGGAAGTCTCTCGGGACCCTTTTCGGGACCCTCGCACGCCATCACAGGACCCTCTCAGAAACCTTGCAGGAGCCTTTCAGGTTCTTCTCAGTCTTCTCACATCTCAGGAGCCCTCCGCATAGCCTCTCAAGACCCGCAGCTCAAGAGCCTCGCAAGAGCCTTTCAAGAGCCTCTCATGACCCTCTCAGGACACTCCCAGAAACCTGTGCGAGCCGTCTCAGGACCCTGTTCCTAGGACCATCTAAGGAGCCTCTCAGGACCATCTCCAGAGCCTTCTCCGGGGCCTCTCAGGAGACTCTCGGAGACCTCGGGACCTTCGAGAGCCTTGCAAGACCCTCTCAGTAGCTGCTCGAGACCCTAGCACGACTCGCGCATCATCATATCAGCATCCTGCTACCAGTTGCTTAATTGGGATCATGCTGCTTTTGCGTTCGCGTCGGCGTTCTCCATATAGTTGTCCTTAGATGTGCCGAAGCACCGGCCCGCTATCAACCTCGAGTTTGAGAAGGCAGTGATTCCCGGCAGCATGGGTACATCTAGCTTGAAGGTGTTACTAGCGTCTACGCCCCACTGATAGCATCTCTGGTGTGTCGATTGTTCAGGTCGCGAGTTTGTCAGGCAGCGCATTCGCATGCGCAGTCGCTGCATCTGTCACATTATCATGTCACTTCGTGTCAGCATTGGAATTGGCATTTGAGCGTTACTGGTCGTAGCGCTAACTTCGCTTTTTCAATGACTATATACACAAATACGGATCGTGCGCATATCATGTTATGCACGCGAGAAGTCACGAGTCTCGTTAACATCATGCTTATTGTTGGCATTACTGCTGTTGATGATATTGTTGTGGTTGTTGTGGTTGTGGTTGTGGTTGTTGTTGATGTTGGTATTGATGTTGGTGTTGGTGTTGCTGTTGTTGTTGTTGTTGTTGTTGTTGTTGTTGTTGTTGTTGTTGTTGTTGTTGTTGTTGTTGTCGTTGTTATTGTACCTTCGTTCTTGTAGTCTAAATAACTGTCGGTCCCTCCCCTCCGATGAGCATTGTGTTTTTCAATTGAAGTGCTTCCCCCAGGGCTCGCACCCTGTTTTTCTTCAGGGCAAGTCACTCTGCTCAAGCGGTGCCCCTGACCCCAGGTTGCAAGTACAGCTGCTCCCGCCTAAGATTCTTTCTAATTTAGCCAGGACCCCCGCTCCCGCCTGAGACTTCCTCGCATTTTACTTAGGAATCGCGTTTTCGCTTGGGACGTCCTCACAATTTATTCAGGAGTCGCTCTCTCGGCGCTCTGGAGCCGCGCTCTCGCTAGAGACGTGCCTGCAATTTACTCCAGCATCGCGCTCTTGCGTTGGAATTCCTCGCAATTTACCCCAGCGCCGCGCTCCCGATACTCAGGCACCCAGGAGTCGCGCTCACGCTTAGGACTCCCTCGCAGTATCGTTCGGAATCATTATCTCGCTGCCCTTCGTGGCCCCATTGCAGCCCCCCGTGGCCCCCTCGCTACCCTTCGTGGACCCGTTGCAGCCTTTCGTGGCCCCCTCGCTGCCCTTCGTGGCCCCGTTGCAGCACTTCGTGGCCCCCTCGCTGCCCTTCGCGGCCCCGTTGCAGCTCTCAGTGGCCCCGTCGTTGCCTTTCTGTGACCCCGCATTATCTGCCCCTCGTGGCCCCCGCTCATTCGCGCAATTCGTGGCCCCACATGTATGCCCTTCGTGGTCCCCGCTCGTTCGCGCCCGTCGTGGCCCCATATGCAGGCCCTTCGTGGCCCCGCTGTCGCCCTTTGTGGCCCCCTCGGTCTCCTACGTGGCCCCGTTGCTACCCTCAGTGGCCCCGTCGTTGCCTTCTGTGGCCCCGCATTATCTGCCCTTCGTGGCCCCCGCTCATTCGCGCCATTCGTGGCCCCATACGCATGCACTTCGTGACCCCGCTGTCGCCCTTCGTGGCTCCCTTCCTGCCCTTCGTGGCCCCGCTGTCGCTCTCGTTCTCGCTTTCGCTCATCGTCGTCGCCGTCGTCGTCGTCGTCGTCGTCGTCGTCGTGGTCGGTCCCCTGTCCGTCCCTGTTGGGGTCGGGTTGCCGCCGATCAGCGCTGCCGCTGGCCAACCCGACGGTCCGCGGCCGCCCCGCCGCTTGCCGGGGCCCGGCCTGCAAGGAAGAAAGATATGCCACCAAAAGGGGTACGATCGAAGACGAAGGGGGCGGGTATCGAGGGTTTGGGAAATACACGTGGAATGACATTCAATCAAATAAGAACACACAGTATTAACATGATTATTGTTGTTGGTGTCGTTGTAGGTGTTGTTGCTGCTGCTGTTGTTGTGAGTTGTTGGTGTTGTTGTTCTTGTTGTTGTTGGTGTTGTTGTTGTTGTTTGGCTTTTCATTTCTAGAGGATAACTAGTGTTGATCCCCCCTTCAGGGCACATGGTGTTTTTCAATTAAAGTGCTCCTCCCGGAGCTCGCCCCCTGTTTTTTATAAAGGGAAGTGGGGGAGAACCAAACTGCACCCTAGGCTCCCGAGTTACAACAACGACAACAACAACGACTCCCGCCGGACATTACAGCGTATTCCCAAATCGTGCTCTCGCGCGAGACGTCTTCACCATGTATACAAGAATCGCGCTCTCGCGTGGGACTTCCTCGCAATGTATTCGGACGCCGCGCCCTCGACATTCAGGGATCCCGCTCTAGCTGTGGATTTCCTCACGATTGATTTGGGAATCGTGCTATCGCTTGAGACTTCGTCGCAATCCATGCAGGACGCACGCTTCAGCAACCCGCCTGCTCGACCTGGCCGCCTGGGCCCGCCTTCCCGACCCGCCCGCTAGAGTCTACCCGCCCGATCTGCACGTCTGGTTCTGCATGCTTTCTTCTCCTACCCCCCCTCCTGCTACTCTCTCTCTCTCTCGTGCTCCATCCTCCTCCCTTGTCCCTTCCTTCCTTCCATCTGTCCTCCCTTCCCCGACCTCAGGGTTTGCACGTAATGCACATTGCAGGTAAACAATAGATACCCCTTAGGGGGTACGATAGAAGACGAAGAGGGCGGATATCAAGAGCTTGTGATACACGTATGGCGCGCGAGCAGATAAGAGCGAACAGTCTTAAAATGGCTGTTGCTGATGCTGCTGCTGCTGTTGTTGGTGATGTTTTTGCTGGTGTTGTTATTGGTGTCGGCGTTGCTGCTGTTGTTGTTGTTGTTGTTGTTGGTGTTGTTGTTGGTGTTGTTGTTGTGTTTGTTATGTGTGTGCTGCTGCTGTCGTTGTTTTTGTGGTGGTTGTCGTTGGTGGTGGTGGTGGTATTGTTGTTGTTGCTGCTGCTGGTGTTGCTGGTGATGTTAGTTGAATCCGCCAGCAGAGCTGGCACCACTGCGTAGCATCGGCTATAGCTATAGCAATCGCAAAACAAAAACCAGTGTGGACGCTGGGTCTGGTTTTGCATAGTGCGCCAGTTTTTGAGATCGCTGGGCTAGCTCTAGCCTTCGCGGCAGCGCCAGCTCCGTCTTGTCGCCTGTCTTGGCTTGAGCTCTAGCTTGGAGCTTTGCCTCAACACCAAAGCACTCTGCCTTCAAAGAGGACCCCACGAGAACACGACACTACGACACCCCGCCCCGCTGGCGGCAGCGGGAAGGGTAGGGGGAGGCGGAGCAGGGGGATGAAGGAGGGCCAGGAATATATTCTTCGCCCAAGATGGCCCAGCAGCCATGGACGCATGCGCTCACCCAAGAAACCTTGCTCCGGTTACTGCTGCCGAGCTTCGTACCCAGTCTTGGCTCAGCCAGACAGGCACAGGCGATGTGCGCAGCCATGGCGTCGCCAGTCACGGTCTGGAGCAAAAGTCTCAAGCCGATGCCCCTGGACCTGGATTCCCCAGGCACGCGAAATTCGCAAAGTCGCGACGCCGATGCCCTCGCCAGCCAGCCTGATGGGTTGGCAACGCCTCCTCCGAAGAAGGACCCGTGCAACGCACTTCGTGTACCGAATGGCCCACTCGGTATGCCAACGGGCTCGGCGGCGATGGAGACCCTCACGGCCGCCTCCCCTGTGTGGCCAATATGCTGCATCGGTGCCCCCGTTTAGCTAGATCCTTCCGCCAGCGCAGACGACCCTGCCTAGCCGCCGACGCAAAAAACCAGTGCGGCCTTCTGGCTTCTCTCTCGCCTGGGCAGGGCGGCCCCGAGGGTTCAGTGCCACGGTTGCGCCGCCCAGCCCAGCCCTCGCGGCCGAGGGTGGCCGCGCCTCGGGGTGGTGGCCCCCCCCTTGCAGGGAAGGGGCGCCCCGAGGGGGCCGCGCCCGGAGGCCCCAGTCACGCCGGCATCGAACGGCCCTCCGCCCCCTGCAGCAGAAGTTCGCTTCGGTGGGCGTGCGTTGATCAGAGGGGTGCTTCTGCCAAGAGTGCCCCTGCAGCAGACGCACCGCGGGGCACGTGCGCTCGCCGCCACGCGCGAACGCCAACAGCCTTCAAGCCCTCTTCGGCAAAGCAGTTGCTACAAGCCTTCGCGCGCGCAGTCGCTGAGACCTTGAGAACGCCGTAGGTGTTTAGCCATTCCGTCAAATCAGGGCATCCAGGCCGATTGCGCGCACATGTCGAGAACGTCGGACCATTGCCGCGCGCCCGCGAGCACTGGCAACACATACTATGCGGACCACATGCGCACGTCGAGACATCATATCAGGATGCCTCGATTTCTGCGGGCGCTCACTTTCCCATCATCCTCACCAGCGCCATAGGTACCATCTCCGTCATCACCATCACTGCCAGCGTCATCCTTGAAATCATCACCATCGTCTGAATCATCATCGCCGCGGTCATCGTTGACCTCGTCGCCCTCGACAAGGTAGCGCGTGCGGGCAGATCCTCACAATCATCACTTGCATCGTCGGCATCATCATCGTCAGCATCATCGTTGCCACCGGCATGATCACCACGTTCGGCTCATCACTATCACGATCGTCATCTTCGACATAGTTTTGTCTACATCTCGGCTGTCATCGGCATCGCATCGTCGACCGAGTTACCTTCATCGTTACCGCCGTCGTCATCACTCTCATCGCCATCGTTTTTGGCGTGGCGTTGGCCGCCACCATATGGCGACTTGGGTGAATGCCATGTCTGCGCGGTTGACTTCCACGCACCCGTGAGCTCTTTGAGATCATGGTCATATGGGTTGTGTCGGCAAGTTGCGGGTGGGATGGTAGGATGTTCGCACGAGCGTTGGAGTTGCTGTGCTCAAGAGTTTTGCAAATCGAGTGCGCTACATGCTACACAACCGATATTGAATCGCATACGTTGCACCAGTCATATGGCACCGCAACACAAGCCGCAACACAAGTGTTGCACCCTGCGTCGCCGTGTATATTACACCGTAAACATATCGCACCACATCAGTTCCATATCGAAGATGCAATATCCGAAGTACTGGTTGGACACCACGCTGGCTTTTAGACGAGTAGTGCGCAAGCGAGGCTGCATGTGAAAGAACACCATTTCGGAATAGCGTGATTGTTGGCAGCCGTGCACTTCAGGATGCATGAGCATCCGACATGCTCCATATCCACCAACAGGGCTGGCTGCGAACGCCAAACAGTTGACACATGATACAAGCTTTCTCGGGGTGAGATTGTGAGGATGGAAGGCGCGAGTGCCAGGCGGTGGAAATCCGTCGACAGCCGCAGTCGTAATGGCTTTCGGCCAACCTGCACCTGCGCGCACAGTCATCGTTCCTCGGTTCTGCATGGCAGCTCGCTGGCGGTCGTCTCTATTGGCCCGGGAGCGCACCAACGCAGGGTGGCATTTGCTTTCCAGCACCCGAGCGGAGGCGCAAAGGCGTTTTGGGTGTGCATTGGGTCTTTTGCATGTGCGTGGCCTCCTGTCGCATTGCCTTGCGGCAATTTGCCCATGAATCGCCCAACTGGGTTACCGCTACCCTTCTCTCATCATGTTATCGACACCTCTCCTTATCGTACGGAGATCGTCAATTCGAGAGGTGATGGGTGAGAGCTGCAACCGCTTCATCATCCAGCTCTTCGCGAGCTTCAGCAGGCGAGGGGCAGGGTCCGTGAGCAATTGATTCTCAGCTTGACGCGATCATGTCCCGAAGTCGTCGCATGTTGCTTCCTCTCCCTCCTCCTCCTCCTTGTCCCATTATGATTTTTGCGTGTGTATCACAATCAGTGCCGAACGCTTGGGAGAAGATCTCCTGAAGGTGTTCTACACCAGGTGATACACATTCCTGCGTACTCTGGTAAGTTGCTATCTGACTAGTGCGCCGGTCTGAAACAGATGAATTGTTCATCTGGTCAATCATATCGTTTTGAAGCTCTATGCGACATATGGGGGAGCATGGCGCACCCTGCCTTCGCTGCTGGGTGGCCCATAGCCCTTGGCGGCATCCGCATATGTCCCCTGTGCGTGAGTGCTGTACGTCGTTTTCGTTTGCCTCCCTCACGGTTCCTTCGTGTGTCCGCCATGTCGAACACCGTTTTCCGTGTTCGTGGTTTTAGATATCTAGGTCTTTCGTTGCCCCATTCGCGTGGCGGCCACGGCGAAAGCCGTACTTTGGTTTCCGACGTCTGCGGCCCTATCGTGCCCCATCGCGTGTTAGCGGCGCATTGGCTGCTTCGTCTCGCCCATTTGTTTCGTTACCTGCACAGGCCTCCAATCGCGTGTGCGCACCCCGCAGCCGCTGCACCGACTGGGGCCGCGTCCGCGTCCGCTGACCAGAAGTGCTCGCCGCCCCACCCTGTGTTCGGTGGCCTGCCCCCTCCCTCCCTCGCTCACCCAGGAAAAAAGAGGGAAAGAAGGGGGATGGGGGGTGGGAGGAGGGCGGGGAGGTGGAGGGACTTGGAAGGAGACCAAGGGAGAACACGAGGATGTCTGATGTTGCCCTGCCCCTGCGGCGGCCCGGACCCCCCCCCCCCGCGTCAGAGGTCCCTGGGGCGCCTTTGCCCGCCTCCTGCCGCGTCCTCGGCCCTCGGGTGCTGCCGCACAGGGGGGGAAGAGCAGTCCCCGCCTCCGCGCCGGCCTCGGATCGACCCGAGCCCACTCGCGCTCCGCCTCCTCCGTCCGCCTCCCGCTCCCTTTTCACGCGTCCCACTGCGTGCGTCGGAGCAGAAGTTCCGATTGCCTCCCTCCGATACATTGCCCCCTCCCCCCCCCTCTTACCAGACACTTCCCCCCTTCCCCTCGTCACCCCGTCCCCTTGTATTCTTCTGTTGCTACCGCTGCCAGCGCAGATACGTTCGCAAATCCAGAATAGCGGGTCTCGAGTGTGGACTTTTCTTGTTGTGTGCCAGGTGGTGAGGCGCAGGTTCCGCGGTGTGTTTGCAGTGAGCTTCGTCTTTCTCCTACAGTAGATTCGCACGATGAGCAATGAGGCATCTTGCGATCAGAGATCGAGGGGCGTATGATGTGTCGGACGTCCACGGTTCTTCTGGCAAGGCTGTCTATCGACAAGCCAGCGTCTTGCTTGGACGTGCATTGCCTATGGGTCCACCACTTCCAGTGCCTAACGACGCGCCCCGATATGATCCCACCCCCCACTCTGTGACGATGCGCCTGGTGGCAGGAACGACCACATCTATTTGCTGATGGAGCCTGCCATGGGAGGCGGCCTTAGCAAGAGCCTGCCCCGCCCTGGATCCGCCGGGCCTCGCGCCCATGGCCGATATGCCGACCCGACGGAGAGAGAGCTAACACGAGTAACATTTTGCGTGGCGACGTTTGCACAGCGATCCAGCCCGCCGCCGCTTCAAGCCTGCGTACCCACACATCACGCGCAAAGAAATCACCACCCACCAAACCACCCCAACCCAACCCGGAGGCTCCAATTTGCCCTCCATTTCCAGTGGGGGGGGCGTCGGGGAACACCGACAAAAACACATGTGGAACCCATACCCCGCCCCCAACCCGAAATTTAGGTCTTCGAATCAGGCTGGGGTGCTCTGGTAGGTAGTCAAAAACGGGGCATGGGCTCTCGACGGCAGACGTCGCCATGAAGGACAGGGGCCCTGGTGGAAGCGGGCCCTGGAGCCTGGGAGTTTCCCAGCTGGGGCCACTTTCTCATCCGGAGCTGTCTTTGTTGATGGTCCCTGGGCTCGCGGTGGGCCACGGGGGGCCCAAGATCGGCGAAGTCTTCGGCTGCCAAGGGCTAATGCAACAATGTTGGGCAGCTCTGCCAGTTCCTCCTCCTCCTTCCCGCCAAGGTGGTGATCTTTTCTCCGCCTACCGCACCCACGAGTTGTTCGGCCGCGGGCTCAGGCGTCGCAGGACACGGCATTGGGAGCTGGCACCGTGAGCGTTCAGAGTTCTGGCACGGGCGAGCAGTTGGAGCTGGCTGTGGGCTTGAGGAGAAGCATTGCTTGGTTCCAGCAGTTGGAGAGGGGGAGGCGCTTCTATGCACATGCTTCGTTCCCTGCCCCCTCGTAGAAAACACGGTGCGAGCCCCAGGAGAAGCATTTTCATTAACAACTACAATGATAATCGGCCGGGGCGGAACTCTACAATTACAGCAACACCAACAACAGCAGCAGCAACAACAACAGCAGCAACAGCCATCATGTCAATATTATTAGTTCGTATCTGCTCGCGTGCCATTCAGCACTTATATACCCGCCCTCTTCGTCTTCGATCGTACCCCCTTGGGCTGTGCACGACGGGCCAGGGGACGAGAACGCGCCGCCACTGGCCCAGGGTACAGGCGCTCGACGGTGCCGACGGCGCCCGACGTCCACCGTGATCCCCCTGCTCGAGCAGCTGCAGCGGGACCCGTACTTTCTCGAGGGTGGACGCGCCGCGCCAGCTGCAAGCGCGATGGCTCTTGCCCCCGAGACCTGGCCCGCGCGGCGCCGGGCCCCGGGCTTGCGCCGCTCGCAGTCTGGCCCTCGGCGTCAGCCTCTGCTTCGGCCCTCCGAGGCGCCGCGAGCTGGCTGCCGGTGCGCTTGCCGCGCGCCCCCGTCAGGCACTGCGGGACCTGCAGCCGACCTGCCGTCCAGACCCCGGCACTGCCGTGGAGGCGGCTGAGCCCTGGTCTGCGGGGAGCCGCGGCTGCGCCCGGCGCTGCGCACCCGGAGGGGCATGACGACCCTGAGCCGGGAGGAGGGCCCCCGCGCCATTCACCTGAAGTTGACGCAGCGGCAGCTGGCCCTGGCGCTGCTGGGCGGGACGTTGAGAGTGAAGCTGGAGCCCACCATCGGGATCACGAGCTACAACACACCGAGCAGTGCGTGCGAGAAGTTACAGGTGAGGCCAGGCGCCAACCAGTTCAGTCGGAGCACGTTCGTGAATCGATTCGTGCCATCCCTGCTCTGGCGGAAGCCTCCGAAAGGGCCGCGGAAGCTGGCAGAAGTGAAGCAACCAGGACGGCCTCCTATACGGTGACACTCCAGGACGGATCCACCTACCACGGGCTACAACAACACGAGCAGCGCGTGTGAGAAAGGGAGCCAAGGCGGCGGCAGGTAGACTCGCGGGCCCTGCGCGAGAAGTACCCAGCCAGGGTCTCTGTGGTGTGCCTCGGGCCAATCGTCGACGGCACCGCCACACGCGTGAGGCTACTGGCCCCCGGTACAGTCGGGGCGCTGAGGAAGGAACTCCTTTTCGTTGGGGAGGAGCTCGGTGTCCCTTGATTGGTTGCCTTAGGTTAGGTTTGCCTGAGGTTTTGCCATCGGAGATTGAAGTTTAACTTTGTGAAAAAGGGCCTTGTTCTTTATTTAGGGTTCCTTAGGTCCTTAGGTCAACGCCCCGACGTTGGGCTCACGGTCGCAGGACTCAACAAAAATCATGGCGGACAGGGTGCCGGGCGTGGCCATCGCGATGGCTCGCGAGCGGCTCCGCCTCGGCGACGAGCTCCAGCAAGACGGCGACGCCTCTCTCCTTGACCTGGGACGCCGACTGCGCGCCGAGGACGGCTTCCTACACGCACGCTTCGGTGGTGCAGCGGTAGCCGGCAGTTGCGCTACTCAGCCAGATGTACCAGAGATCCAACGGATTGAAAAAATCAAGGAGGAGTTATTTTTCAAATTTCGGCCTCTAGGCGCCCTCGCTGGGCCCCGGGACTGTCAACAGGGTCCTGGGGAATGGGTCGAGACTTCTGGGGGGGGGGGGGCGCATTGAAAAAATCACGACGTCGGATCTCTGGGGTTGGGAGTGAGGCTGGAGCTCACGACTCCAGCGCTCGCGAGCTGCACTGCAGACTCCAGCACGACCCCGGCGCCTGCGAGCAGCACCGAAATTTCCAACTCGACTCCTGGCCAGTGAGCATCGCCGCAGTTTCCAACATGCCTCCGGCGCCAGTGGGCAGCAACGCGGCTTCCAGCACGGATCCGGCGCCAGTGAGCGGCACCGCAGTTTCCAGCACGACCTCGGCGCTCGCGAGCAGCACCGCAGTTTCTCACATACGCCCCCAGCGGCAGCGAGCGCCAGCGCGGTCTCCAGCACGGCTCTGGCGCCAGCGCGCAGCACCGCATCCACGATCCCGGCGCCAGAGAGCAGCACCGCAGATTGCAGCACGGAGCTGGCGCCAGTGAGCAGCTCAGCAGTGCCCGCGACTTCGGGGCCAGTGAGCATCGCCGCAGTTTCCAACATGCCTCCGGCGCCAGTGGGCAGCAACGCGGCTTCCAGCACGGCTCCGGCGCCAGTGCGCAGCGCCGCAGCTTCCACGATCCCGGCGGCAGCGAGCGCCACCGCAGCTTCCAGCACGACCCCGGCAGTGAGCGGCACCGCAGCTTGCAGCACCACCCGCAGCAGCACGCGCGAGGAGGGGTAGTGGCACGCGAGAGCGAAAGAGACATACAAGACGTTGCCACGCCCAGTGGCGCACCTGGTGTCGTCGCACCTGAACCACAGCGTTCGCCTGGCGCGCAGCGGCCTTCGGCCGAGGGCTGCTGTGCCGATGGTGGTCTGACGAGCCTCTGGCCGCGCCGCCTCTGCCCAGGGGCAGCGCCGGCATGACTTCAAAAGCATCTGCCACGATCAGTGGCGTCTCCGTGGGTCCTGGGCCCGTCGTTTCACCTGGTGTGGCCCGCCCTTAGACCCCGTCGAGCCCCGATCAGGAGCCTCACGCTGCACCTGGCGCTGCGGCGGCGCATCGGTGCGCCGAGGGGGAGCTTGAGAGGAATCTCGCGTGCAGTGTCTGTCAGGACCCCGTCCGAGGAGTTGCTTACGGAATGCCTGGGCCCCTTCTCCACTTGAGGTGCTGGCTTGTCCGCCACGGCTGAGGCAGAGATGGCGGACCTGGCTTCCTGGACACTCTTGCTGTGCATGTCGCCTTCTGAGCGGCTGCCCGGCGGCCCTTCCCGGCGCGGACGCGCTCGGCACGCCTGGCGCGTGAGGCGCGGCCCCTTCGAGGCCCTGCTGGGGATTTCGAGGATTTTGTTTTCTGGGGGGGGAACTGCCGGGCCCCCATCTGCCCCTGCAGGGCGCCGCGTCACCCTGACGCGTGGGCCCGTTTCCGTGCCCGCCAGGGGCTGCCCGCGGGCGTGGCGCTCCTCTCCCGTCCCCCCCATCCTCTCCCCCCCCGCCCTCTTCCCGCCCTCCTCTCGCGCCGCCATGGCTCCGCTGCGCTACCGCTCCTGGCGTGCAGCTCAGCTCCACCTTTCATTGCCGCCCCGCCCCGGACGGTGCGCTCAGGCCGCAGCCTCCCACAGTTGCTGCACCTGGTGGACACAGCATGTTGCTGTTGGCAGTCCCTGGGCTCCCGGACTGCTGCCGCATTGCTCGACATCGTCGCAGCGCCCGTGGGTGCGCCCTCGCCTCGGCCAAGGGCTGCTGCCACTGTCACCGCTGCCTCGGTCGGCCGCTCTGTCCCGCTCGTCGCGGAACCCTTCCACGTCTGAGCGTTTTACCCCCCCTCTCTCTCTTCCCCCCCGCGCGGCCGCTCTCGTCTTTCTCCCCCCCTCTTGCATACCGGCCAATCCGCCGTTCGCATGCCCCGAACAGCCACGCGCTGGAGCGGACTGCCTTTGCCTCGCCGCCGACGGACAAAAAGTGTTTCGTGCAGCCCCTAAGGCAGGGGAAGGGAGGACGGGTGGAAGGAAGGTACACGGGGGGAGGAAAACAGCGCGGGTGGCAATTGACGCCGTCATGGGAAGTTGTAAAGGTGTGGAGGTACGTTGGACCCTCCTCTAGGGACGTCTTCGTTTGCCGAGGGTCCCTCGAGGAGTCCTCGGCTCCCTCCAGTGGTTATTGACGCCTTAATGTAAAGGTGTGGGGGGGGGCCCACGCAACCCCTATGATGGAAACGGCGCGGGGTGTGAGGCTATTGGCGTTCCTCACGGGTGAGGCTTAAAGACGGTCCTCAGGGGGCGAGAGGGAGGGGGCGCGCGCGCTTCTCGGCGAGCTGGCTCCTGCTGATGGTCCTGAAGCGGGGTTCCTGAAAAAGGGGCCTCAAAGTGTGTACACAGCTTCGACTCCGAAACCTAGTATGCCTTGCGCACTCGGGGGAGGGAAAGAGGGGGGAGGGGGAGGGATAATGGAGCACGAGAGGGAGTAGCAGGAGGGGGGCTAGGAGCAGAAAACACATGGCAGAACCATGCTGGCAGATCGGACGGGTAGCCCGTAACGGGCGGGTCTCGAAGGCGGGCCCAGGCGGCCAGGTCGAGCAGGCGGGTTGCTGAAGCGTGCGCCCTGCATGAATCGTGAGGAAGTTTCGCGCGAGAGCGCGATTCCCCAGGAAATCGTGAGAAATCCACAGCGAGAGCGCGATTCTTGAGTGTCGAGGGCACGGCGTCTGAATAAATAGCGGAGAAGTTCCACGCGAGAGCGCGATTCCAGCATACAATGGAAGGAGTCCCGCGCGACACCGAGATTTTGGAATACACTGTGAGGAAATCTCAGGCGGGAGCCGTTGTTGTTGCATTTCGGGGCAAGGGGCCCACTTTTGTGACCCTTCAGTTCCCCCTGTACAAAAAAAGGGTGTGAACCCCTGGAGGAGCACCTAAATTTGAAACTACTATGAGTACCGGGCTTAGGGGGATCAGTTTTTTAAGATGGGATTTCAACCACAAACAGTTTTAAATCTCGGCACGGCAAGCACCGTTTTGCAAGCAAAAGTGAGAGGCGGATCTAGAGGCACTTGGCATTCGCCGCCGCCGTGCTGGGGTAGTGGGCGATCGGCCTTTGGGATGCATCTTGGAAACATTCGTTGGGCCTCTTGGCGGCTTCTCGGGGTCGTGATGGGGATCTCCTACGGGTTTCGCGGAGCCCTCTTGTGGGCGCGTTGGCTGTCTCGGGGGCTTGCTGGGGTGGGCTCCACATTGGATTTTGAGTTTACCCTCTTGGGCCACCCCTGGGGCGGGGGCCCTTGGGCCCTTCTTAGGGCACTCGCCGTCCATAATGTAGCTTTATTGTGGGCCGAATGGATTTTCCCTCTCTTCAGGCGGACAGGGCAAGTACGCTAAACATAAACGTACACTACCGTTTGGTTTGGGAATGAGTTTGGCGTCTGGGGCCAACCTTAGGACCTCCAAGAGAGCCCCAGGCTCGTCGAACAGGGCAATCTTGAGACCACGCCTGCAATTTGAACTCCCAGCCGCGCTTCCAAAACCTCTGGGAAAGTTGCGTGGTGGGTCCTTGAAGCGCAGGGTAGGGTTTGGCATTCGGGGGTCTGGACTCATTGTGTTCAACACAGAGCTCGAAGGAACATGAGGCGGACACTCTTCGCACCCAGTGCCTCGTAGCACGATGGTGGCAACGGATTCCAAATCTGGCTTCTGGATTTTGAGAATATGGAGTCCGACGCTGGGAACTTAAGGGAGATGCCCAGGTAGTCAGAAGCACGCCCTGTTCTACGCCGCCTGCATCGTGCGCGCCCTTGAGCACCTGCATGGGCTGAGGGTCATTTACCGGGACCTCAAGATGGAGAACGTGGTTCTCGACGTGAGAGGACGCACTTCCGTAATGCGCACGTCATTTTCGGGAGAGACGGAGCGATTGGCAAAGCACGGCGAGCCTCCGACGGGGGCGTGGTTAGTTCGAGCCCTGGTTCCCTCTCTTTTGCTCCCGCTTGCCGCCTGCTGGCCGCGTTTGCCTAGCGCCTGGTCTCGTGGATCGCGGCCAGACCACGCCCCGACAGGACGCATATGCCTCCACGGGCAATCGGCCGGAGACAGATGCAGGTAGAAGGAGGAAAAAGGCGAGGAGCGAGAGGAAGAGGGAAGAGGCGAAGGAGGAGCTGCAGGACAGCCCAGGCAGCCCAGTGAAGATTGAAGGGTTGGGGCTTTGGCAGGAGAGTTCAAGCAAGCAATATTCGCTGGCAAGGGTTCCCCAAGCAGGTGCCCCCGCCAGAGGACCTCTCTAGGATCTCAAATTGGAGCCACTTCGAGGCGACTACACTGCTGTGACGATGCACCCCCCCCCACACACATGTCATTCGTAGAAGCTCCGTTCGAGGTGCGCTGGAGATGGGAAGAAGAGCGGGAGGAGGAAGAGGAGGAGGAGGATATTGAGAAGAAGAGAGAGGAGGTGGGGGTGGGAGTTGGAGGAGAGGGAAAAGGAGGAGCGATGATGATGACGATGAGTAGGAGGTGGCAGAGGAGGAGGAGGAGGGGTAGGACGAGCAGGGGGAGCAGAGTGAGGGGGAGGAGCAGGAGGGCATGAGGAGGAGGAGGAGGAGGAGGAGGAGGAGGAGAAATGGCATGAGGGGCTGGAGGAGGAGGGCATGTTGGGTTGGTCGCGGCTCTTGCTTTACGGGAATGTCTGGCGAGCTGCCTGACAGAGGCATGTGCTCCACGACAGCATTCCACAATAAGGATGCCATTAGATTCCCTTGCCGGAATTTGCGCGTGGGGCCTACGGCTGCAAAGGCGCGCGCATTGCTTGTTTTGCAGAAGCACATGTTGGGTAAAGGGTTCGACCAACTATTCAATTGCGAACTTCTCCAGGCTATGGCAAGCTGTGCGATCTAGGAATGGCGAAGATGGTGGTCTGGCCCTCCCGGGCCTACACCATCTGCGGGACGTTGGAGTACCTCGCTCCTGAGATCCTGACTGGCTGGGGCTATTCTTATCCCGTTGACTGGTGGGCTCTTGGAATATTGGTCCACGGCCTAGCGGCAGATGGAAATGGGGAGCGTGTTGACAGAAACGGCGTGAGACATCGGGAAGACGCCGTCGGGGAGCGTGAGAGTGAGGAGAAGTAGAAGCGGGATCAGGGTCACAGAAGCGGAGCAACATATTGAGCAGGAGCAGGAAGCTGGAAGCAGGAGTATATAGAAAACGGCCAGACGACGGAGAGGAACCCCGCAGGCTTGAGACCTGGAGCGCGTCGGCGAGAGGTGGCACAGAGACCGCAGCTGGCACAGGCAAAAGTTTACAACCCACTGTGTTTGAGCCCGTGGTGTCAGATGCTCCCCAAACGGCTAACGACCCCTGGCTTCTGTGATGCTTTGATTCCCATCCAATGGCCCCGCTATAGTACACATTGGATTCATTCTTGCCTCCCTCCAGATCGGGCCAATAGTAACATCTCATGTGTTGAAGTTGACTGGCATGGGGCTGCAGTGGGGATCCATGCCAAGAAACACCCTGCTTGCCTCCACGGTGCCCTTGGTTTCCTTGGGCTTCGATGCCTTTGCCATGAAAAGCGCGACGTTCCCACACCAAAAAATCCATCGACGTCCTGGGGTATCAGGGTTGCGTTTCTTGTGAAAGGTGTCTTGTGGACTGGCCTCCACTGTACCGCTTGCCCCAGACCAGGGAATTGCATCCGAGCGTCCCCCGGCGATTTCTGAAACCCTCGGTCTAGAGGTGCCTCGACAATCAAGACATCTGTGAAGACTCGAAGGTGCACCCCGACTTGATCCTTCTTCCATCTCCTCCATTCCTGCTCCTTAAAGATAATTCTTTACGCTTCGCGTATCCCCACCAGCCCATCTCACAGCAGCAGCTCTCGCGAAGCATGTCGACAGTTGTGTTTTTCAGGCGTGTGTCCGCTGGGCTCCGTATATCTCCCCTGTCCCTCCTTCTTCCCGCCTCCTTGTGAATCCTCCTTGTGGGGGGGGAGCGGGAGAAGGACGAGGCGGAGGAGGAGGGAGAGAAAGCGCTCCTCGTGATTTGAGTCGTTTGGGGTTTCTCGTCCTGGTGTGAGTCGTTCGGGCCCTTCTTCCTGGTGTGAGTCGTTCGGGCTCTTCGTGGTGTGAGTCGTTCGGGCTCTTCGTCCTGGTGTGAGTCGTTCGGGCTTCTCGTGGTGTGAGTTGTTCGGGCCCCTCATCCTGGTGTGAGTCGTTCGGGCCCCTCCTCCTGGTGTGACTCGTTCGGGCTCCTCGTGGTGTGAGTCGTTCGGGGCCCGCGTCGTGGTGTGAGTCGTTCGGGCTCCTCGTGGTGTGAGTCGTTCGGGCGCCTCGTCCTGGTGTGAGTCGTTCGGGCCCCTCCTTGTGGTGTGAGTCGTTCGGGCTCTTCGTGGTGTGAGTCGTTCGGGCCCCTCGTCCTGGTGTGAGTCGTTCGGGCTCCACGTGGGGCCTCTTGGGGGCCTTTTGGAGCCTCTTGGGGGCCTCTTGGGGGCCTCTTGGGGGCCTCTTGGGGGCCTCGTGGGGCCTTTGGGGGCCTCTTGGGGGCCTCTTGGGGGCCTCGTGGGGCCTCTTGGGGGCCTCTTGGAGGCCTCTTGGGAGCCTCCTGGGGGCCTCTTGGGGCCATCTTGGGGCTTTTTGCGACCTCCTCAGAAGCGCAAATGAGCGCTGCCCCCTGAGAAGGACAACATGAGCCCAAAACCTTTGTAAAATCAATGATTTTGCTAGGAGGGAAGATAAGCGCGGCCCCCTTCAGAAGGCCAAAATGGGCCCAAAACCGTAGTAAAATCAATGATTTTGGCTTCACAGAAGAGGAGGGGGCTACAAGAGCGCCCCCCCGTCGGGGCCAGAATCCTCGTGAGGGTCGTCGTTTTTTGGCCCTCCCAGGCGTCGAAAAGACCCCCCTGACCACCCGCGGGACTCCCTGTCCAGGCCCAGGGGGAGGGGGTAGGGGGAGGGGTAAACCCCTCCCCGAAGGGGAAGAAGGGGGGTTGGGGGGTTGAGGACAGATGCTCTCTAAACCACTCACGCCCAAAGGGCTGGTGGGACTCCTCTCTGTCGCACCCCGAGGCCAGTTTTTAGGGCGGGCCGGGCGTTTCGCCTGAGACTTCCTCACCATTTCCGATTCTGAAGCTTAAAAAGTGACAACAACTTCACAGATGAAGGGCGGGTGGTTTTCGAAATGTGGCTCTCGCCTTAGCGCCGCGCACATTCGCTTGAAACATTTGCAATAGCTTCACGGATTGAGGGCGGGTCTCTTTCAGAATGTGGTTCTCGCCTTAGCGCCGCGCACATTTGTTTTCAACACTTACTAGAGTTTCACGGATTGAGGGCGGTTCCTTTTCAAGTTGTGGTTCTCGTCTTGGCGCCGCGCACGGGTTCCCATGATCAACGTACCAAAAATGGTGTCTTGGAAGGGTTCAGCATTATGCGGGCGCAACAGTTATGTTGATTCGCTGTGTTGAAGTCCCCAAAATGGCGTTCTGGCACGATTTTGGATCGTCCAGACGCAGCAGTCAGGTTGATACGTGCCGTTGAAGTCCCGAGAACAATGTTTTGGCACGCTTCAGGATCTTTAAACTGCTGTCTTCCAACGAGGCAGTTCCCCCAATGAAAATGAGCCGTTGTAGGGGCCTATGAAGAGGGAGCTTGGAGGGAGGGTTAATTCCAACATAGTTGATGACTCTTGGGTTTCCACTTGTCCTCCTCCTCCTCCTTCTCCTCCTCCTTCTCCTCCTCCTCTTTGTTGAACGCACAAACTTCACTTGTAGGGATGCCTATACTGTGCTGCTGCCCCTGCCTCCCTCTCGAAGAACAGTCCGTAGCCATTCTGCAGGCGGCGCCCCGTGGCCGTGCCACCCTACGGGGCTCATGGGCCAAGGGCGAGGTGACCATGGACGGAGCACTGGCTACGTCCAGGGGAGCGAGCAATGACTTAGACATGAAAAATCGGAGGTCCGCGCGGATTTCTCGGAGCCGCGCCAGAGCCCCCTGGCGGCGCCTCCGGCGCCGCCCCTGGCGCGCGGAGCGCGCCAGGGATGGGGGTCCAGCTCCGAGAGATCTGAGTTTCCAAGTTTTTCCCCAATCAGTGCCTACACTGATGAAGGGGTCCTAGCGGAAATTGAAAGATTTGGCAAAAGTGTCCCGCTGACTTTGGTGGCCGGCTGGGTTCCCGGGTTCCCGGTTCTGGGCTCCCGGGTTCCTGGCCGATTTCGGTGGGTTCGGGGTTCCCGGGTTCCCGTTCGATCTCCTTATCGATCAAACTATCCATTGATTGGAGTTTTTTCTGGTGTAATCATGATGATGTCATTGTTCGTTCGCCTAACGTCTTCAGCAAGGGTTTGCCCGAGACTGGCATGCTCCAGAATGTCTGGTCCGCCAGAGCGCTCCTGGACGAGCGCCACCACCCACGGGAGGTGGCCACCCACAAGGCTTACACGGAGGCCGGGGCCGCGTCGGCAGCCACGAACAGCTGCGCCACCCAGCCCACGTGACTGCGAGATGGCGTTCGGCGACGCGTTCGAGCCGCGCGGATGGCCGTGCAGGCTCGCACGTCAGAGGAGACAAAAACACCCATACCTCTACCCTTTCCCCATTTTCCCCTGTTTGGGCCTCGGAGGCCCTCGTCGCCACCGCTGGATTCGCTTCGAAATGCCGGTCAGGACGTACCCCGGGAGAGGTCCGGGGAGTAGCGGTATCGGTACCTTAAGGCTTCCCCAGCACGGAGCACGTTGCAGCTCGCCCGGGCGCGCATGTCCGCATTTTGGGGGCTTTGCCCCCGCTGGTGGAGCCCCACGGGTCGGACCTCTTCGTCGAGGTCCTGGTTGACAAGGGTAAGAGGCGTACCGCTTTCTGCAGGTGCTGACGCTCTAAATCGGCTTGTGTGGTTGGAGCTGAGATTCTACAGGCTTACGCCGCGTCCGCCGACCCCTTGGCTTATCCGCTTCGGTGGCGTTCGCGGCTATCGGGGCGCCTCTTGGAAGCAACGTTGACGCCTCAGATGGTCTGGCATGCGCATTGCTTGGTATCGCAAACCTTTGAAGTCAGACAATTCTGCTCGCGCAATAGGGCGCGACTGATGACTGAGGCTCAGATAATGTTGGCTCAAGGTTTCGGCTCAAGGTTTCGGCTCAAGGTTTCGGCTCAGAGGCAAAAGGGCGCGTTTGGCTCAAGGACTTTCGGCGGTAAGGCCGGAAGGACAAGCAATGTCTGAGCTCGCGCCCGTCTTGTCGCCGAGACTGCAAGCATGTATGCCCACAGGGGTACCAGAAACGGGGGATCTAGAACGATATTTGGTGGCGAAGAACTTGTGTTCGATTCTCAGAGTGCATAGCTGGTTCGATTCACCCGACGACGCTGTCGCAGAGTTGGGCGGTGAAGCCCGTTGTAGCCCGTCAGTGGCCAGGGAATTCTATGCACGGGTAGATCGGAATGCTTCGGCAGCCGTCAGGGGGCATGTTCGTGCGGAGTTGGCTGGAGGAGAACGAGTCCTTTGCGACCCCCAGGAAGCACCAGCGGTGCCCACGACCAGCTCTGGAAAGTTACCGTCGGTGGCCTTCTATCCGGGGAGGAAGAGGCACAAATCCGAAAAGGTGGAACAAAACTGCCAAGACCGGGAAGCTGCTGCGCTGTGCAGCCAGGTCGGTTTAGCGCTCGATCTTGCCGGCCACATCGGGGACGCATCGCCGAGACTCCGGGGATGGGCCCTCAAAGGCCTCAGCTGGGAGGATCAATCGGCTCTCTTGCGGCCTGTAGTGGTCAGGAGGGCTTCGGTGGCGGCGACGGTGCGATCCCACCTGCGAGTCCTTGCGTGGCTGCAGAAATGGGCAGAAGCGGCCGGGCTCCAGCCGTGGTCGTTAGATGCAACAGATGTCGCGCTATTTCTCCGCGACGCCAGCGGTAGAGGGCCGTCAGTGCCGAAGGCGTCCTTTGCGTCGCTGGTGTGGGCGAAGGAAGTATTCCAGTTCCCGTGGCCGTTGGAGGACCCGCTGGTCGAGGCCCAGAGATGCATGTCAAGCAAGCAGACAGAGGAG